CTGGTTCCTTACCTTCTCACCTTTGGCACCGGGAGGCCCAGCGATGGCCTGGGGAACAGAGGAGAGAGGGGGCAGGTGAGCAAGGCTGCATGGGGATGTTCCCCCTCATTCCGGCGAGGAACATAGGGCAAGGCAGGTCTGCACTCACCTGCCCTGGTGCTCCAGCATCCCCTGGCTCTCCCTTGGCACCCGCAGGGCCCGAAGGTCCTGGCACACCCTGGCAAAAGTGGCACAGCCCACAGCCTCAGCTGCAGACACCCCAGGCTGAGCCACGTGGGGCTCCCACTAGGATGGGACATGTGAGCAGCAACGTACCATCTTCCCAGGCATCCCTGCCTCGCCATCCTTTCCCGGCACGCCATCCCTGCCTGGCACGCCTGGTTTCCCGCTCTCCCCCTGCGGGCAGTAAGAGTGAGGCTGGGGTGCAGGGGTCCCACAGCCTCCCGGGCAGCCCTGAATGCACACACTGATGGCAGCCAAGCAGAGGGGGACAACACACTCACCACTTGTCCTGGAAGCCCGGGGACACCCGGTGGGCCCTGCAAGGGAGACATGAGCAGATATCAAGCAGCATTCCAGACATCAGGAATGGCCAAGGGGCATTTCAGTTGGGTGGGGAGTTGTTGCAAATACCTACCACTGCACCGGGAGGGCCAGGGGGTCCCGGCAGTCCCATGTTGCCCTGGGGACCAGGCAAGCCCTGCAATGGAAACAGCCACCTCAGAGAGGGGATGGCACAGCTAAGACCTTAGCTGCCCCTGTAGGAGCACGCAGTGCCATGGGGCTGGGCTGTTTGGGGAGGCGAGACAGTTTTGGAGGAGCCAGATGGGTGCTGGTGGGAAGGATATAAGTACTCACACGGATGCCAGAGCCGGGTTCTCCTGGATCTCCCTGCAATGGAAGCACCTGTGTCAGCCCAACTGCCCCAACCCACCAGCTACCATGGTCACAGCCACATCTCCATGCCTGGAACCAGGAGTGGAGCCAGCCCAAAATGTCCCTCCCTCTAGCCCGAAACTTCCCAAAATATGGCCCTCCCTCCAGTCCCCAAATCTGGCCACTTCTCTCTGCCAGGTTGGACATGGCAATGCTGTGCAGAGGCTGATGCCAATACCAATGCCATACCTTGGCTCCAGCTGGGCCCTGGGTCCCTGGTGGGCCAGTGCTGCCCTGCAGGGGACAAAGGGACATTATTAGGGTGGTGTTTACTGGTGTCACAAGACAGGGAGGGGGCAGTAGGGCTGCTCTGTCCCAGCACTGCCACCTCATCCCTGCTCCCTGGGGAAACATCCACCCTGACTGACACTCTCCCTGACTAACATCTCTCTTGCATGACAGTCCCCAACACATGGAGAAAGGTGGCTCCTTACCGGAGGTCCTGGGGGTCCTGGATCTCCCTGGCTGCCCTGAAGGGAGGAAAAGATGAGGTCACTGCAGGCATAGGTTTCTCCCAGTGGTTGCATGGGGTGTTCCCAGGGAGAGGGGACCCAGTGCCAGAGGCTCTGGTAAGCACCTGCACCAAGGGAAGACAGGATGGCTCCTGCCAAGATGCAGGGTGCCGTGCACCCACCCCAGCAGCAAGGTAAGCCCCATGGCTTCACCAGGTGTTCACAGCCCCGAGCCCCCAGCTGTGTGCTGAAGTGAGGTGCCACAGGGACACACAGGGCACACACAGACACCTACCGGCCGTCCTAGCACTCCGGGGAAGCCTGGCAAGCCCTGCAAAGAACCACATCAGAGTCGGTGGGCACACAGGAACCCACCACCCCCACGCAGCCCTGCCTGCCCCCAGGGATGTTCCTCATTCCTGGTGTACGGTACTTATGGGGGGTAGGGGTTAGGGGGAGGCTCTCTAAAGCCCTGCAGGCCCTGCATGGGGTAAGGGGGAAGGAGGTGAATGAGGCATGAACGTTCCTGCTGGTGCTGGTGGTGGCTCCTGTGGGACCACAGGACCTCCCTTCTGTCCTGTCCTGCATTGCCCTACTCACCGGCTTCCCCTCGGGGCCGACTGGTCCTCTCTCACCCAGGAGACCCTGGAGCAAGAAATGGAGATGAGGATGGGGTCAGTGCCAGGCAGGGGTCCAGAGTCAGTGCCAGACAGAGGAACAGTGTGGTACTCACCGGGGCACCGTCCCTGCCCTTCTCGCCGGGCTCGCCTCGGTCACCCCGCAGGCCACCCTCACCCTGCAGTGGGGACAGGCACAGGGTCACAGGACAGCAAGGACCTCCCAGGGCCTGCTGACACCCAAAGAGAGGTGCACTCTGCAGTGCCCTCACTCAGGGCTTTGTTCCATGTCTGCCCCATTGGCAGTGGAAGACTTAGGACCACAGACCTTATCTCCTTTGGGTCCCCGCTCACCCTCAGCTCCTGGTTCACCCTGTGTCAGGAGGAAGACAGGTGCCATCAGTCCCCGCTGCACGCTGCCCTGCCTCCATTCTCAGTCCCAGCTTAAGGTGTTGCCCCGGCTTGGTTGCCTTGGCTGCCCCTTTCCTTTCTGCCCAGCCACACACCTTTGTTCCCTTGGGTCCGACAGGGCCACGCTCACCTGGAAGGCCCATCAGGCTGCCCTCCACCACATCTGCCTGCAGGCAGGACACAGTCAGGGCCAGCACTCAGGGGACCCCAGGAAGGTCCCCTGTGGAGCATAGCCTTCTCCCAAGCCCCTGTGTCAAGGGACTGGATATGGCCATCCATCCCCAGAGGTGCAGATTGTTACCCTTGCGGATGGTTTCCAGCAGCAGGGATCACTTACCTTGGGCCCTGGGGGTCCGGGCAAGCCGTCCCTGCCCTTGGAGGGTAGAAAAATAGGTTGAGCATCAAAGGGACAGCAAGGCGTGGGGGAGCAGAGCCATCCTGGTACTGCCACTCCTGGCCTCCGTAAGGAATCAGCCTGCTCACCTCCCACCAAGAGAGGCACAGCACAAGGGGGGGAATGGAGGGGACCATGTTCCTATCCTAGCTCACCTGCTCACCTCTGTCACCCTTCTCACCCCGGTCACCCTGTGAAAACAATGTAGTGGCTGGCATGGAAACGACCCTGGACCATGTTCCCCAGCCTTCAACTTGCTCCTCCACACGCACTCACCTTCTCGCCGGCCCGGCCGGCTTCCCCC